TTTTTTTTAAACTTTCTCTTGTTGACTTCGTTAATATTCTTATCTTTTAAATATTTATATACATTTAAACGAATACATTTATCCATAATCAAACACTTAATATCATGAATTTGACAAAATTGATAAGAATTAAAGAAGTCTACATTAGAATTTTTAAATGTGCTCTCAATTGGGCTTAAGTGACCATACTTATCAAGAAATTGATACATTCTTTCATGGACTGCATCAACCATCTTAATAAGCCCGTCACTTGCATAATTTAAATGTGTCTCATTGTTATACTCCTTGAAAGAAGTAAACAAATGATTCTCGTTACATTCTGCAGAATATAAATTTTCTCGGCACGTATCACAGTCCGGAATATGTATATTTTTCAGAAAATAACCAGCCACATAAGCCGTTGCTTGATTATCTTCTATACTTGGGTTTAGTTCGATATCTGAGAAAACAGGATTTGAATCCATTTTATCACTAGAATGAAAATCCTCTGGAAAATGTACTAACAAATCTTGTAGGTTCCCCAAAGACTCACAATAATCGTCTTGACAATTCCGTCCCCTACTTAAGGGTACAGAATGTGTTAACTGTGCTTGGTCGTCGTTGCACTCGTTAACACGTGAGCGTTCTACAATTTTGCCGCTAGATGTCGCCATAATACTACAAATATTAAAACGTATTTATTTATTTAACTTGTAAATGTTATGGAAAGCAGCACCATCTCTCGCTGAATTCTCATAACATTAAAAAAAACATTTTTATTGAATTATAAACAAATTAAACCTTAAAAAATCACGTTACAACAAAAAATAAATATATTTTTATTCTATATTTTGATCTGTTGTTCGAAAATGATTATTCACACATAACAAAAAAATCCTGTATATAAAACGCCATCTATCGTTGAGCCATTGAATTAAAATATTAATTTAATGCGAATTAATAACTTTAATATTAGATAAAGTAAAACTTAAATAATTAATTAAATTAAGACGTATGCTTTACTATAAAGATTCTTGTTTATTTAATTAAATAATATCAAATAAATATTAAAACGTATTTATTTTGTAACTTGTAAAAGTTATGGAAAGCAGCACCATCTCTCGCTGAATCCTCATAACATTAAAAAAACATTTTTATTGAATTATAAACAAATTAAACCTTAAAAAATTACGTTACAACAAAAATATATATATTTTTATTCCATATTTTGATCTGTTGTTCGAAAATTATTATTCAAGCATAACTAAAAATCCTGTATATAAAGCGCCATCCATCGTCGAGCCATTGAATTAAAATATTAATTTAATGGGAATTAATAATCTTAATATTAAAGAAAGTAAAACTTAAATAATTAATTAAATTAAGACGTATGCTTTACTATAGAGATTCTTGTTTATTTATTTAATTAAATAATATCGAATTAATATTAAAACGTATTTATTTTTTAAGTTGTAAAAGTTATGTAAAGCAGCACCATCTCTCGCCGAATCTTCAAAACAATAAGAAAAAACATTTTTATTTAATTATAAACAAATTAAACCTTAAAAAATTCCGTTACAACAAAAAACATATGTATTTTTATTCTATATTTTTATCTGTTGTTCGAAAATTATTATTCAAGCATAAGTAAAAATCCTGTATATAAAGCGCCATCCATCGTTGAGCCATTGAAGTAAAATGTTAATTTAATGCGAATTAATAATTTTAATTTAATTAATTCAAAATCCCATTTTAGTATATTTCGTTCATTATATTAAACACATAAATTACATTGTATAATAACAATAATGAAAAAAAGACTACAGTGAATTAAGATCGACATAACCTCAAATCATTTTAAATTGACATTTACATTTGACGCGTTCACACTACAAAATACGGCGATTTATCTTCTTTCATTTAAAAATATAAACGTAAGTTGAAAATGTCGGCGAACGTTAACGTTATACGCCAACAGTTATTCTCCGTTTTAACAACGGGCGGCACCCCAAAAGAACAAGCGGAAAGGTATAGATTCGTTTTGGAATCAATTCTAAATGGACCTGAATCTGATCTCGTAGAATGTTTGCAAGTATTTATTGTCGCGATGGTTAACGAGAATGTTAGTTTAGTGATTTCAAGACAAATTCTAACGGATATTAGTTCCCATTTGGTTAAATTAAGTGATCCTGTGTCGATTGCAGTTTCTCACTACACTTTGGAGAAAATTCAACCAAGAGTTATTTCATTTGAGGAACAGGTATAAAATTTAATATAATTTTTGAATGGTTAGTTAATTTTTGTTTGCATTATTAGGCAGCTCATATTCGTCAACATTTAGCAGAACTTTATGAACGTAATCAAAATTGGCGTGAAGCAGCTGGAGTTTTAGTTGGAATTCCTTTAGAAACTGGTCAAAAACAATACACAGTTGATTACAAATTGGAAACATACCTAAAAATCGCCCGTTTATATTTAGAAGATGACGACCCATTCCAAGCTGAAGCTTTTATAAATCGAGCGTCGCTTCTTCAAGCAGAGTCCAAAAATGAACAACTTCAAGTTTATTATAAAGTATGTTATGCCCGCGTTTTAGATTATCGTCGAAAATTCATTGAGGCAGCTCAAAGATATAATGAGTTATCCTACAGAACAATAATTCATGAAGATGAACGTATGACGGCCCTCCGTAACGCATTAGTTTGTACCGTTTTAGCGTCAGCTGGTCAACAAAGATCCCGAATGTTAGCTACATTATTCAAAGACGAACGCTGTCAGCAACTTCCGGCTGTTTCAATTTTAGAAAAAATGTATTTGGACCGAATAATCCGCCGAAGTGAGTTACAAGAATTTGAGGCTTTACTTCAGCCCCATCAAAAAGCAACAACTGTAGATGGATCTACAATATTAGATCGCGCCGTCATTGAACATAATTTATTATCAGCAAGTAAACTTTATAATAATATTAGTTTTGAGGAATTGGGAGCTTTATTGGAAATTGTTCCATCAAAAGCGGAAAAGATTGCAAGTCAAATGATAACGGAAAGAAGGATGAATGGTTATATTGATCAGATTGATTCAATCGTTTATTTTGAAACTCGGGAAACATTGCCACAATGGGACAAACAGATACAGTCCTTGTGTTATCAAGTTAATTCAGTGATTGAATTAATTTCAAAACATCATCCAGAATGGTTGAGTAAAGTTATGGAAGAACAGATGATGTCTTAACAATTTGTTATTGATATGTTTTGGATATTTGTGTTATTATTATCTTAGTGGTTTATTTTTTGTGTACTAAATATATGTATAATAAATATAAAAAAAATCTGAAGAAAAGGTCATGACAATACATATAAAGCTCATACAAACACTGCTGTAGAATTTTTCTCTCTCTCCAATGGCGCTTTGGCCTCCTGTACCTTTCGCTTCCATAACCTCTGTTCAAGAGCTACTATCATCCAGGTTCTGACGCTTATGAATCGTGCGTTTTTCTCTTGCCTCTTGGTCTCCTACCTTGCATTCTGCTGCTTAAGGGGGCTTCGGGTCTAGAATACCGATTTTTTAGGTACAGTACAGACTCGATAATCCGGAACAATTAAAACAAGGGTAATTCGGATTATGCAACATTCCGGATTACTAGAATAATTTTTTAAATACAGTAATACCCCGACTTCCACTACCCCGTTTTACGTAAATTCGGAGTTACACGATTTCAACTTGATACCCCACTTCACCCACCACAACAAAATGACATGATGATCAGCTTTACGACAGGTTCGGACATGTTTGTTGCTCAGAAAACGATTACCAAGACTGAGCTGATTGTGAATAGACTGTAACTATGTCATCTAAACGAAGTAGGGCTGATACTGATTCATTTCCATCAAACAAGAAAAGAAAATCATTATTTTTGGAATGTAAACTTTATATTAAACTAAAATTAGAACTAAAACTAGTGTTATGACTGGTCTTGCGGAGGGAGCGCGAGCGATGTACTTTTCGCACCAGCGGATACGTAGGTTTATTAGATAAAATTAAACAATCGTTGACTTTCTTGACTATACATATAATGCTTGATTAGTATATTAAAAAACAAGTTTCGTAAGACACGCTTGAAATGCACGAATTCAAGTTGAAAAACGAGTGGCGAAGCCACGAGTTTTTTAATGAATGAGTGCTTTAAGTCTTGTGAAACGTGTTTTTTATGCTATTTTTTGTAATTCGCGTTTTTATACTTTTTTTAACAAAAATAAAATAAATTTTGACAATGTAGGGAAATAGGTATGCAGCAGTTGGTAACACCACAACACTTGAAAATAGAAATTTGAATTGACAACTAGAAACTGTCAAAACACAAAATGTGTTCACCTGAAAAAAATGTTTCATGTACACCTCCCAAAATAAGAGAAATTGATGATATATTAAGAATAATTAAAGATTACAATACAAATGGTTGGCCTAAAACTAAAGAGAAGGTACCAGATAATGTAAAACATTATTTTAACTTACAGAATGATATTACGTGTGAGGAAGGTCTTATATTTTTGAATTATAGATTGATTGTCCCTTGTTCAATGAGAGATTATATTTTAAAACTTTTACATGAATCACATTTTGGCATACAGAAAACCGAAGCAAGAGCAAGAGAGGCTGTCTATTGGCCAGGTTTAATGACTGATATTGAGAGTTTGATCTCAAGATGCACGATCTGTGAAAGGTATCGAAATTCGAATGTAAAAGAACCTTTAATTGTACATGACATACCGGATATAATTCCTCTGTTCATGGAATTCCGAAACAAGTTATCAGTGATAACATGCCATTTAGTTCGTTTGAGATGAAAAAGTTCGCAAAAAACTGGAATTTTGAATTTGTAACGAGTTCTCCTAGATATCCAAGAAGCAATGGACAAGCTGAGCGAGCAGTCCAGACTGCAAAGAGAATTCTTAAGAAATGTTCTGAAGATAATACTGATGTGGAACTAGCACTGTTGGAATTCAGAAGTAGTCCAATTACAGGTTTAGGTATTTCTCCATGTCAGATATTATTCAATAGAAGGGTAAGAACAAAAGTGCCAATTCATACAAGATTATTGAAGCCGGAAATAAAAACGGATGTACATTTTCAAATCATCAATAACCAAAAAAGATATAAACACTATTATGACAGACATGTTAAAAATCGTAGAGATTTCCAGAAAGGAGAAAATGCACTAGTCTTAAAGGGAAAAACATGGGAACCCTGTAAGATTCTAAAGCAAGCAGAAACACCAAGGTCATACCTAATTATGGATCAAAAGGGTGAAACATTGAGAAGAAACTTGTTTCATTTGAAGCCAACGACCAATCAATTTGTTCTAAAGTCAAATAACAATAATGATGATATTGGTTTTAACCCAGCTGATCAAAGTAAGCAAACTAATGTACAAGATAAGACCAGAGATTTTAATATTTGTAGTAATAATACTGATGTTGCTATCAATGTTCCATTTTGTAATGATAATGTATCTGATAATACTCATAATGTTAGTTTTAATAATCAAACTTGTACTCGAAGTGGACGTAGTATTACGATACCCAATAAGTATAAAAACTTTGTTTTGTAAAAAAGAAAAAAAGGGAGATGTAATGTTGGCTGCCAACATAAAGAGATAGAAGAATAAGTATGGCGTGTGTTAGAAGTCAACCAAGGTTTTAATAAATATAACTATATTTAAGGTGTGAATTTTTATTATATAATACCAAATATTACAGTAATGAGATTTTAGTAACATTTTATGGAACCAGTTCAAGTTGGTGGCATTGGGTCATTAATTTTTCGAGATATCAATGTGACAATTTTTGTCTATGGATGTTTAAACGCGTTCTTAGCATCGAATACAACGTCCACAATGATGAGGACATTGACTCTGAGCAATTTCTCTTATTTTGGGAGGTGTACATCAAACATTTTTTTCAGGTGAATATATTTTGTGTTTTGACAGTTTCTAATTGTCAATTCAAAGTTCTATTTTCAAGTGTTACGGTGTTACCAACTGCTGCATACCTATTTCCCTACATTGTCAAAATTTATTTTATTTTTGTTAAAAAAAAAGTATAAAAACGCGAATTACAAAAAATAGCATAAAAAACACGTTTCATAAGACTTAAAGCACTCATTCATTAAAAAACTCATGGCTTCGCCACTCGTTTTTCAACTTGAATTCGTGCATTTCAAGCGTGTCTTACGAAACTCGTTTTTTAATATACTATTACACGTTCTTCTTAGCTTCTACTCTAGATCTTAACTGAACTTACTAACTAACTTAATTCTAAATATATATACATCAGTGTGCGCTCCAAAAATACGAGCCACAATAAGCGATTGAAGGTGCTGGATGCTCAATGAATTAATTAAAAAAAAATGATTCTAAATAAATTGTTTCTTTAATTAGTAACAAAGGTCGAAATAATAATAAAT